TACTTGTAATATTTTATTTAGTTTTATTCAATATAATATTAATAAATAAGTTATACGTAGTCAAATTTACTTTTTTTATTATTTTTTTTTAATAAATTTTTTGGCCAATCGCTATTCTTATTTTTTGACCAATCATTGAAGGCGTCACGTGATTTATCTCCGCTTTAGACGACCCCCAAAAAAGGGAAAAAGATGATCCTTATGTCTTTTTATCAACGTGTTTATTTTGAAAACGCGACTTTTGAACGTGTAATCAAGTAAAAACCTGTTTCAAACCAGTCGGAGTTTTTTGCTGTGGTGATGTAATTGGCACGTTTTTTTTATCGGTTATCAGTAACTGTTAATCAGTAGATTGCTAATAAAATTTTTTTATAAGCGCGAAAAGATCACTAAATATTCTTTATTATCGAGCTGAATGAGATGATTAATGCGAAAGAGAAGTATGTAGTTAAATTAGACTTTTCAATGATCAGAAATTACGAATTTCAAAAACATAACCTCTGTTAGAGCTATTACCCGGGCCATATTACACAATTTTACTATGTAAGTATATAGAAGACATTATAATTTACTAAATAGTAAAGCTCATACCCGGTCGTCTGACTCGTGCGGGTCAACTTCTTGAGGGATCACGTACAGGGACATGTAAAAATTTCGATTGATTTATGCAAAAATTTCAATAAATTTCGATTGATTTACGATCAATTTGTGCAAAATTTCGATAAATTTCGAAGTCAACATTAAAAAAAAAATTTTTTTAATGTTCTCGTCCAATAATATTATTACTGTATTATCATGTGATCTTTGGTATTTTTTTGTTTTTTTTTGGCCAATAATATTATTTTTATGTGATTTTCTATGGGTTTGCCAAAATTTTCAATAAATTTCGAGAAATTTTGACCAAATTTCAAAAAATTTCGATTTCTTTCAAAAATTTCTTTCGAAAAATTTACGTGTTCTTGATCACGTATTTCCCGATGTAGAAAATGGGCGAACTCAAATCACGAGCAAGATCGAAAAATTTTTTCAATATAAAATCCGAAAAATTCCAATTTAAATATTTGGAGTAAGCTAATTAAGGGTGTTCTCAAGTAGCATACTCAATTAGTGATCGTAATGGTGCATGGTAAAATTTGATTAAACCTTTGTTAAAGATCAATAGGACAAATGATAATGTAATTGACGTATTCTCACGTATCTTCCTCAATGTAATTAACTTGTAATTGTGTTTACATTCAAGCGTTGCAATAATTGAAATATTTCGATTGATGGTTGTGCAAACACTTTTATTATTACTATCTTATCGTTACCATTAAAAAAATTATTGCTTTACAAAACCGTAATAAAAAAAAATAAAAATAAAAATAAAAAAAAGACGATGAACCAATAGAAGCGAAAAACTCATGTCAGAAATTACAGTTTCTGTTTCAACAACTTTTTCTAGATCCTTTACTACAAGTAAACAAATATTGAGTGAAAATTTTTAATTATTGATGTAACATTTTTAGGTTTCGCTTTTAGCGTTGAGTCATTACATCTAAGGAAGAACGAATGGAATGGTTGTATTTAGTGCCATATAACTGATAAATAAAACTAGAATATGATAAGTATGGCCATTCGTGAAATTTCAGTTTTTATTCGTAGTGAAGGTTTTTTAACATAAGCGCTGATTATCAATGTATGAAAAATTTTAGCCAATCAGCGCAATCGGAATGATAAGTGCTTTTGATCGGCTAAACGGTCTTCTGATAATTAAATTTTTCTCTATGACGTATTAAACTATTGCAGCTCTGCATCATCCATTGGAATATTAACATTTTTTTACCAATTAAAATTTGCTTCCCGACCTATTCCGACCAATCGACTAAGGCGCTTGAGAACACCCTAGGAGTTGTTGCATCAACTTTTAAGGATTTTCAAAAACCTTATGAAATTTCCGTTTTACCTGTTGACCCGGGTTATAACCCGGGTCGGTATTTGACCCGGGTAAGAGCTCTAGCGAACACTTTTGCTGAAAAAGATGAGAGTTCGCAATGTCACAAGATCGTAAATCTGTTATTATTAACGTTATACGTATGGGTAATTATTTTTTGAATCCGGATCAAAATGTTATTACGTCATATATAAAATTAGTCCGGGTTCAAAAATATTCACCTGCATATACGTATAAAATGTAGATGACATATTTTAAAAATTTTAATTATATATACGTATATACGTATATTATATATAGAAATTGTAATATTACATAATTATATATCACAATAACATTACAACATTACAACATTAAATTAGTGATATTGCGATATTATGACATTATTATAATTTGCAACGCCCTGGGTGATACTTGATATTTCTCACCCATATTATATAATATATAATTCAAAAATGTTACCAATAAATCACTTTCGGGCTCTAACACAAGTTGTAATTCATATTTGCAGCAAGCTTTATCGACTACAATTACTGCCAAACTGTAACTATAACGTATTGTCAGTATAGTTTGAGTAGAACCCTAAATTAAGAGATAACTTAAAGAGTCATTTAATTAGTAAACGTAACTGTAAAAATCATGATGTTATAATTTCGTCATGATATTTAAGTTGGTCAAGCGTAATTATTATGTAAATTATGTTGTGATGAGAATTTAGAAATATAAGAAGCGAAATAATGCTTTCTGGAATTAAAGTTAACAATTTCAATCCTCTAAATATCTCACATTAAAAAAAACTTTTTTTTGTTTAAATAAAAATGATTCGAGTCCATAAATTTTTGGTGCCTAATAGAATTGCTGTAATTACCAATAATCGACTATTTCAAACAACGGTTTATCGATACAAACAAGAATTTATATCACCTGACCAACCTCGTCATTCAGGTCCGGAAGAAAGGGATCCACAAAGAACAAGTCCTACCCGTGAAAAACCATTGAGTGAAGGCCATGCTCTCGATAAAGCCAAGGATGTTTTAGGCGTGATGAAAGATACAGCAGCCAGTGCTACCGAGAAGGTCAAAGACGTTTTTACACGAATGACTTCACCTGCTTTAGATGTTCAGTCTGAAGCTGTGACTAAAGGACTTAAAGATCATACGCAGCAATTAAAAGATAAGGGCCAGAAAAATTTGGAAAATGCAAAAGATAAAGGTTATAATACTATGGAGAGTATGAAAGAGAAAGGGCGTGAAAATTTGGCATATGCAAAAGATAAAGGTTATGATACCATGGAATATGCAAAAGATAAAGGTTATGATGCTATGGAGAGTATGAAAGAGAAAGGGCGTGAAAATTTGGAATATGCAAAAGATAAAGGTTATGATACCATGGAATATGTAAAAGATAAAGGTTATGATACTATGGAGAGTATAAAAGAGAAAGGTCAAAATTTAGCGGATAAAGTATGTTATAAAGTGTCTAGATTTGAATGTCTACTTTATAAATTGCAAATTTTGAACTCTTTTTTTTTTCTTTTTTTTTTTTTTTAGGGTAAAAAGGCTTTAGAAGTTGATTCTTCTAGTGAGAAAATTGATAGACAACGAGAATCCAAAGAAAGATTGGCTAATCCGGAACCCGGTCGTCATCCTAAAGGACCTGTTGAAGAAGTTAAACAAACTGTTCGTGATGTTGCTGATAGCCACTAAGCAGAAACATAAAAATTATTAACCGAAATTGTATCAAAATGTTTATTTAGTGGCGTTAGCAGGTTAAATTGTTTCATTCAATAAAAGACAACGATTTGATAATTGCAGTTCAGAAGTTATGCAATAGTGATATAGTAATATAAGTACCTTCAAATGAGAAAGAAGTGATGGGTATTATGAAAAGTAGTAAATAACAGAAATTCAATAAATACAATTATTTTTAAAATCTTAAATTATGATTTTTGAAAGTGTTTATTGTTTCATAATTAATACAGAACGATCTAAAAAAAACTATAATTTCAGCATCGTAGGGGGATATTATGACGAATTGAAAATATATTGAGACCCAGTATTCATATTCGTTATTCGAATAATATTCGCATTCGACGAATATTCGAATAAATAGTTATCTGACGAATAAACAAATCTTATTCGAATAAGCAAATTTAATATTCGAATAGATATTGTTGATCCAAATTATTCGAACATTATTCGAATAAGGAATCCGTAAGCTTTAACCCGTCGATCGAAATCAAGCGATATTTCACACTATTCAAATTCTGATCATATTTATCCGACAAATATTTTACCGACATTTATCCGACAACTATTTTCCGACAATTATTTCCCGAAATAACCATTTTCCCGACAACAGTTTCCCAACATGACGCGATTGTTGGGAAAATAGTCATGCCAGAGAACGATTGTCGGTGAAATAGTCATGCCGGAGAATGATTGTCGGTAAATCGATTATTTGTTCAACTGTATATAACGATAATGTTAATTTTCGTTTTTAAAATTATCTTGTGATCTAGTGAACCATTCAAATCATTTCATATGTTAATTCATTATAATATTTTGTTAAATTTCCATTATAATTTGGAATTTGATTAAAAATGCAAGATCTAATTTGCTTTATAAAGCAAAAATAGCATTAGTACGAGCAATGAACGAATACGAGATGGGCATTAGAGATAACATAAACCATTGACACAATTAATGCTACGGTAACAAAGAACGACGATGGGAGACAAATGATATTGCAGTGCATGCTGGAGAGAATGCGAATTGAAAGTAATTGGTGATTTGTGAAAATTACGCTTGTAAGAAGGGTATGAACCAATGAAAAATTTCGAAGAAGATATATTAAGAACATGGTAGTACTATACAGCATAAGTAATAATGATGGACGTTTTCTATCAATTACGAATTATTAGCGATTAAAAATTAAAATGAATTGCTAATAATAATAATTTAATGCCATATTTTAATTTTATCATTTAAATAAAAGCTGTAATAATTTGGTTACATTGCGTATTACGCATTTAATTGAATATTTATTCATCGACAATATTTAATCAAATATTGAATTGAATATCGATATGTACATAAATTCTTATTAATCTGCATATTTAATTACATATAAGGAAACAATTACAGTAATGATAAATCGCTAATTATAAAAATCTATCGCTATTGATACCTTCCGTGTTTTATGGTTTAACAATTCGTTATTACGTATAAACATTTAACAATTAGAAATTTCAATTATGTACAGTACGTTCTAATAATAAGTATCATGTATGCAAGCATATGTAAACACGGAGATTTAATATTTATACGGCAGTCAGTGTTACTGCGTATTCAGAAACAATGGGGTTTGGTCAAAGACAATGTCAAAAATAATGCCAAAAATAATGATTGGGGTCTACTTTATACACGTGAAACAGGTACGTGCTCTCAGCTAACTGACACGCTGTACGTAAAAATTCTTGGCATTTAATTAACCATTTACTGTAATTGGTTATCGTTATATACAATACGTACGTACCATACCGTATTATCACAGATCATATAATTTATAAAAGTAAACCCCTGTTCAGTGGATTCTTTAAACGCTGTCAAAAGAAAACCTGTCATCGGACTTTCAATTATATTTTGTGTACAGTTAACTGTCTACGGAAATCTATCATAATGATATATTTTCCATAGACGATAAACTGTACACAAAATATAATTGAAAGTCCGATGACAGGTTTTCTTTTGACAGCACTCATATACAGTATATGCCCTGTTTCTTGTTATTTGTCACAAATAAAAATTCTTTGCTTCTATATATATACAGTATAAATATAATATAAATATAGTAAGGTTTCCTTTAAGTGTACTTCAATACAGATACTACGTATGAAGAATGTTGCATAGATATAAGACTTTAAATGATGAAAAAAATGAAACTCACTTATTTTTAAATTCAAATTTTAATCAAATAAATGACAATGTTCTGGCATTAAAACAAGTTACTTTTACTTGTGTATGATTTTGCAGTACAGTATTACTTGTGTGAATTTAAAGTTTGTATGTGTAATCAAGCCAAATCTTGGCTTTTTGCATCAATTATACAGTATTTTTAACATACTGTACAATATCAATACAGTAAATTTCCAGTTTATAATTCACAAACCCTAAAATTTATTAGAAATCTTCAACACAGCAATTAGCAAGGTTAGCAGTTTGGTGCCTCATTAGATGATCTGTCTGCTGGTCCATGCTCCATTGGAAATTTTTATTATTAAACTTACGAAATTATTATATATATATCTATTTATTTATTTAGCATTTTGATCTAGTAATTTATTTATTTAATAATTACAAATTATTTTTTTTAAATAGAAGCAAAAATGCACCAATTCTAAACATTCCTTAGTATTAATAAATTTCCCATAAACTAATCCTTTGATCTTTCCCACCTCCAATTAAGTAATGTTTCTCTGTTCTTTCCTCATTTCCAAGATCTTTCCCTTCTTCTATAGATTTATCACGATCCTGTTCATCCATTGATAAAATGCGAGAAAAAGCTAATGCATAAACGCTCTCTCGGTGATAAGATAATATTGCTAATGGTTTCAGAGATTTTGAAGAAAAGATACGAATACTTTTACGCAAAAAATTTGATGCAGTTTTAATAGTTAAATAATCGATACTCAATTCAATAATTCATGAAATACATATGCAGATTAATAAGTAGATTACTGTGATGACATACTTCGTATCCCATCCAGCAGTGGCAAAAATCTTTCCATCAGATCTAATTTTAACTTCTGCGATGCCAGCATATTTTACAGTAGTACTTTTAATCAATGGTTCTTTTTTAAATCCCTATCATGTTGTTTTAAGTTAATAGTTGTCTTTATTTGTGAAAATTCTAATAAAATAAAATAAAAAACTACCTCATCGAAGTTATATTTCACAATTTTATTGTCACCAGAAGTTGATATTGCAAATTGTTTATCAGAAGAGAGATCTATACTTAAAACTAATTTAACAATAAATTGTCTTATATCAATATAAATCGAAAAAAGTAAATATCTGAACAATTATACTAACCGCTTTCTCCATGTTCCTTTCGATCCCACAATTTTTCAACGGTAGCATTATCTTTTTCATTCGACATTAATTCATTGGTATTAATGATAATTGACCATAAACTAACACTACCACTTTCATAAGCCGCCAATATAAAATAATTCTTAGTAACAGATTGAAAATTCTGAAAAGTATTATTTGGAAAAATTTTTATGGCCATGCAGTAACCTTTTTTTTAAAGACGTAATTAGGAATAATGTATCAGACTGACGTGTTATTATTAGAACAAATTTTTTTTAAAAAAGATAAGGATACCAGTTTTACTATTTTGATCGAGCCCAATTGAAGATGCAATTAATTTTTGATTCGTTAAATTCCATATATCAATCTATAAAATATATGCATTTTTTTTTCAAATGAAAAATTTCACCAAAGAATGTAAATAAACTGACGACAAGAAATCATACACCAGAGGAATCTTTGGCACTAGGGACCGCTATAAAAAGTTCATCACGTTTATCGCCAATTTCTACATGAGAAACTGCATATTAAAACTGAATTTTTACTATACACTTTCTTTAAAATTAAATACAATAAATAAGTCCTACCTTCATAACAAAAATCAAATTTACAAAAATTTAACGAATTTACTTTTAAGCTTATTTCAGGTTTTATCGACTCTTCTTTATTTCCTCCATCCTTAATATTTGATAATTGATTAAATTCCCAAACATTTAAAGTATTATCCCGACCATGACTAATTGATGAAAATATAATAATTCGCCAATACAGATTAAATAATCTCCAAGCAAATTGAAAAATTCATGTAAAATTCATGTTTAATATACCTGATCAATTTATCATTAAATTTTACAACATTCAAAATTCCATCATTATGTGCTTTAAATTGAATTTTCGAACGCTTCAATACCATATCCCATATAATAACGTTTCCTCCCGCATCTCTTAAATGATAATCAAACAAAATAAAGTATAAAAAATATGTCATTTATAATAAATTTCTTTATCAAATAAAGGAATTACATGATTATATTGCTATTTTTATTGAAAAGAACAAAATTTTCTTACCCTGAAATAAGATATTTGTTATTTTCAATGAATTCTAAACTATTAATTTGTTCAGCATGCCCCCGAAATATATATATCGGTGAGGGTGGTATCTTAGACATGTTCGTTAAAAAACAAATTTATTTACGTCACTAGTTAGAGAATGACGTAATTTTTAATATCAGGATGCAATATCGATATATTTATAGACATTTTATTTAGGGCGGGATCATGTGGTTGGCTGATGCTGCGGATGTGGCGCGAATCCAGCTTTACACCATTGAGTCTTACTTAAGTCAATGATGGCATGTGTTTGAATTAGAACTTGTCAAACCGAGCCTATAAAAAGATATAGTTTGATATAGAGACTGGACTCGAGTTTAAAAAACATAATCTTGACTCGAGTTAATTCGAGTTAAGGCTATGTTTTTTAAACTCGTCCAGTCTCTAGTTTGATACACGACTGATCCTTCACCCGGTGTGCAGCATATAAATTATTTTACAATACCAGATCATTCCGCTAGTATGATCTGGTATTGTAAAATAATTTTTTTATATGCTGCACACCGGGTGAAGGATCAGTCGTGTAACAACGACGGTTCCTTCCTGTTGGTTTACTAATTAGTAGAACCAATCAGAGTGGAGGGGAAAATAGTAAACTCGGTTAGGGTTATATGATCTTTTTAAATTATTGGTTTGATTAAAAAATGATGACGTAGAAAATTAATGTAAAAAATAATCAAACGAGATCGAGAATCCTTGTTTTTATTGTCCGGAGCGACATTTTGTTTTTACTACGGACTATAATAATATATATCACGTTGTCCGCTTCGTGATGCTGATTGGTTGTATATACGATGATTAATCACATGATGCGTAGATCTGTATAAATATTTGGTTCGACCTTTTTTTATATCGCTAATATTTGTTTTTTATTTTTTTTTTCTCTTTACACCTGAAGCCCCACTACGTTTTTGCTTATCAGTTGAATATTGTTAGTATTTTATTGTTTTGAAATTCGAGTTTGAAAATAAATTAAAAATGAACCAAACCATATTTTTTAGGAAAAATTATGAATATAAAAAAAACTGCGATGGTTTTATTGTAGTTATTTTAATGTTGACATTAAATTATTGGTCGTTTTTTGCTTTGTTGGGTTATCTCTACTTAATGCTTGTATAGCTAGCGGAATCTTGACCTAGGACTTGGATTGTTAACCTAGGTTAGAAAGGCATCGGACCCTTTTACCCTGCACAAAGTCTACTGATTATGAAGAAAGAGTTAAATGTTTCTTGTTGTTGCGGTAAAAAAAAGTTTTGCAAAAAATTAAAAAAATCAACACGAAAACATGATAATATAATTAGGTTAATTTTTTATCTTTATTTATAGGTGTGCCTAAATTGCCCAGTACATTGCCGCCGTTCTAGCAGTTCTAATAAATATATCAGATATGATTGATTTTAACGATCCAGCCCGTTTGAGGGCGGTTGATCCTGCTCGATGCGGTTCTCGATGTGGCTTGTGCTGCTGGCAATTTCAATATGTTTCAATATATCAATCTTAAATTAAGAGGGTTCTTAGTCTCTTACACCTAAATACAGATTTATATAATTATATAACGATTAGAATCATGCCACGCAAACGTAAACGTCCACCAACTCCACCATATATTGCAAATCTTCCTCAATATAGGAATAAAATACGACATCCTTCTTAAGTTTCGTTACCCAAATACCCAGCTATTATCCAACATTTGTAGACGAGTTGGCTAAATTCAGAAAATTATGGTGGGATCAGTGCAATTTGCATCTGAGGACGAATTGGGAAAGTGCTTCGTAAGTTATTTTTCATGTTTGTTTAATAATGGATTCTTAATCTTATGATTGATTTAATAACAATTAATTTTTGTGATCTCTTTGAAGTAAACACGATACAAATATTAACGAAGCCAGGCGTATCATTCAATTGTGGTCATGATAGAATTGATGTGACCAGATGACTCGCATCATAAATATTTGAAATCAAATATTAAGTAATAGATTAAACTATAGTCCTACATAAATAAACCTAATTTTTACGTGTAGTAAATATTAGTTACATGTCAAAAACGTTTGAAATTCCAAGGATTCTCAAGCTCAGTAATTTATTGTTAAAAGTTTATTTCATTTAAGTAATCTTAAGTTTCCAATGTGATATTCAATCGTGATGTATGATTCTAAGCCAGATACCATGAATATATTGTATCGTTGTTTTATTAATTATTATATTTGTCACTTTATCGCTTTGTAAAATCGAAAAGGCATGTTTTTTCTTGTAAATCCTGTTATTATTTTACAAGAGTACCACAAGTCTGAATAGTAAAATTTTCACTCTGATCTGACATTAATGCAGAGGTACCCGTTACCACTCCGCTCCGGAAAAGTTACATATAAGTCCATTAACGTTGATATTATAATTTAGAATTGATCGTCAATTACTTTCGTTATGATCTTTAGTTTCAGGTAAAATATTCGATATAAACAAATTACGTTAATTGTTAAGATTCAGAAACAGATAAATAACGTATGATATTAGTTTTGGTTTGTCAAAGTTTAGTATAAGAAGGTTTCAACCTTCAAGTCAACTTCAAATTCATCAATCAATTGACTATTTTTTATATAAACTGCTTTTGAACTCGTGAAACCACCATTTCCTTTTTTATGCAAAAAGTAGATAACGATTCTACCAAAAAAAGAACAATTCTTAGTTAAACTCGTAGCACAAACATTAGAGAGCTTTTAGGAGAATTAATAATTTGCCACATCATTATTGCTTTTAAACATATGCGTATAATTAAAAACTCATACTAATTACATGATTTTGTGTTCATGAAATTCAATGTTGTATACATATTATACATTTAATAAATAGCATTCGTGTTACAATATTTAACATAATAGATTCCACTAATATTTTGTGAACATTGGCTGCATCTATGGAGTTATATAAATTAGCATGGGAAAGAAATCAAATTATACTTATTACCAAAATTTTAAAATGTTAACCTCCTAATGTTATAAATCTTCAGGTTTTACAAGATTTTGTTCACCGTTTTCAATAATACTTTCTTTATTAACATCTCTTGGTAAAGGTTTCCTCATATCTTGAGAAATAATTTGTAGGACGAATTTTAAAACACGAATTAATTTACCTCAATATATAAACATTACACATTATAAAATATAAACATACCAAAAGCATCCTCTTCATTATTATCACCAGATGAATAATAACCGATAACGCGTCTATACACTGAATATCCAAATTTCTTATACATGTTGATTGCCACAGTGTTCGATACACGAACAAATAAATCAACAAAATAACCATTATAACTTTTATTAAAATATAAAAAATTATTTTTGATAAAATGTAAATCAATATATATATATATATATATATATGCATGATTTAAAAGAAATAAACATGGTACAAACATTTTATCTGACACGTTTTCCAGCAATTTCATCATCGTATCTGCCAACCCTGTGCGTCTATACTCTGAAGCAACTGTGATAGCTGTCACATGTCCATGCCACTCTTTACCTCTCCCTTCAGCTTTACCCATAACTTGAGATAAAATAAAATATTTAAATTTAAAAGGAAACTTTTTAATTTTATATTTTAATGATTTTAATATAACATATACTCAACTATATCCCATCATGGCTCCATTAGGCGACTCTTGCACACAAAAAAGGTCCGGCCACCTCGCCAGATAAGACAGATAGAATGAAATGTTATACTATCATAATTGATCAAGTTATATAAGAATATAAGTGTAAAATTGAAAGTAAATTTTTTAAATGGAAAAGAAAAATAAGGTAAGCTTACCGTTTCGGTCAAGAAATCAAGGTTTCTGTATATACAAAAAAAAAGATTATATGTGTATATTTACATATTTATTTATTTACAATTATTTATTGATTTTTATTTATTTACTTATTTTTAAAGAAAAAAAATTCTTTTCATGGAATACTTGCTTACTTACACATTGTTAAATTTAAATAGATCTGTTGCTTTAAATCTTCTCACTGCACTCATTGGAACTTTAAAATTAAAAGTTTAAGATTGTCATCGATTTAGACGGAATTAAAAATATCTAATGTGACACACTGCACAAAGGTTACACAGTAGTTATATTTCCATACCAATCAGTATGAAAAAATAAACGTCTTATTTTTTTGTTAATTGCGATGGCAGAACTTCAGCAAACACCACTAGAAAATTCGGTAGTTACTTCAAAAGCTGAGCAACCCGTAGTTGAACAACCTGTAGTGGTTAATCAACATTCATTAATACAGGCTTTGACTTTTCTTCGTTCCGAGTTAGAAAAAGTACAAAATGAAAAGAGCGAATTGGTTAAAGAACGTAGTACTTTACTAGAACAGCTAGAATTTGAAAGGAATAAAAGTACTAGTTCCAGAACTAGTGTAGATACTACAATAGACATTCAAGAAGATTCTGCTAGTCTGCAGGGTAACAATGACCACGAAAAAGTAGTTGCAGAATTACGATCGAAGATTGAACAGTTTGAAGACGAAAAAAAAGGGGTAGTTGTTCAAGAACAGGAAATATTAAATTTAAAGACTAAGCTTGAGCAGGTACAGGATGAAAAGAAACAATTGGAGGTACAACATCAAAGTTTGATTGCAAAGTTAGCTAATTTCAAGACTTCTATTGCCGACAAATTGAAAACTGACATGGTTAGCAGTGTTTAAAATTTTAAAATTTTAAAATTCTTTTTTTTTTTTTTTTTCTTTACATTATAATTTTAATTCTGATAATTCTGATAATTCTGATCAATTTATTTTGCATTTATTTTAGGAGGAATTAAATCAAAAAAGACAAGAAATAGATAAACTTAATCAGAATAATCAAGAACTCTTAAACACCATTTCTCAATTACAGTCAGAACTTTCAATGTCTCGCAATGAACATGATAGCATGTCTCAACGTTTACAAACGCTGGAAACGCATCTTTACGAAGTACAACATCAAACATCACAAGAACTTTCCGAAAAAGATAATATAATTAGAGATTTACAAATAAATTTAGATCGTTCTGAAAGAGAAAGGGAAGATGCTGACGTATCTGCAATGGAATTAAAAAGTGCCAGGGATGAATTACTTTCTCGTATAAAACATTTAGAAAGAGAAATTGAAGCGTTGAAATATGAAAAGGAGGCTTTAAGGGTGGAAAAGAACAGTGAATCCGAGAGTTTGGCTAATTTACAGAGTGTATTAGAAGAATTTGAAGCAGGTAAAGATACATTGAAATAAATTTATTTATTTATTTATTTATTTCAATGCTGAAATTTTAAAAATTTGATTAAGCTAAACAATCGGAAATTCGGGAGGCTATCGAAGGAATACAACGACGACTTTCTACTACTAGTAAAGAGCTAGCCGAATTTAAAGAACGTGCATTATTAGCAGAGGTTGGTTATTACTTTTCAATGTGCGTCAAATGGTTAGGTGGAACTAAATAAAAACTCATACACATATATATATGCATCTTCACATGTATGCATATATATTGTCATATTAATAGAACCAATTGTCACAAATTAAAGAAGGAATTGGTCGTACGGCACAATATGAAAAGGAGATTAAAGAAAAAAATTTGCTGATTGGAAAATTACGTCATGAAGGTCAGTATTGGTATATTTTCAATTTCAATATGTAAATAATTTTAAATTAAAAAATTTTGAATGAAAAATTTTATTTAAAATTTTAAATTAAAAATCTTAAATTTTAAATTATTTAGCTGTAATATTAAATGAACATCTAACCGAGGCTCTTCGTCGCATGAGAGAAGAAAGCAGTGAAAATAACGTGGACAAGTTAGTTATTCTAATTATTAATAATTCTTTCTTTCTCTGATTTTGATTGTCAATTAATCATTGTTAACATAATTTACATAATTTATGATTAATTTGTGATTTATAGGCGTCTAATTACAAATCTTTTAATAGCTTTCTTTAATACCCCTCGTGGAGATAGTAAACGTTTTGAGATATTGCAATTAATGGCGAATATGTTACAATGGAGTGAGGAACAAAAGGAACAAGTTGGATTAATCAGAAAAGCGGCATCTAGAACGTTGGATGAACGGTCGGGTAGTTGGGGTTCAGGCTTATGGACTCCAACTATCGAGAGACCACGAAACAGATTATCAGAGGATATCCCAAGAACAATCAGAATAAATGAGGAGCCTCCATCAAAAGAGGTTAGTTTATTTTTAATTTAATTATATGAAAACGATTGATCTCAATATATGATTTCAATAAATGATTAATATATAATATTTTATTATATCAGTCATTCTCGGATATGTGGATATCATTTTTACTTAAAGAAGCTAGCAAGGACAGTTCTGATCAAAATACTAGTAGCAGCTCTGTTTCTACGCAAAGTGAATAGATGTTTATTAGTTTTATCATTTTTTTTTTTATAATTACAATCCATTTTAATGTATTATAGTAGTAATTTTATTCTAGTTTGCTTCTGTATTATTGTATTTAGACAAATCATTTTCTTTTTTGCCGCATTATTTTAATTATAGATACAATATTTGATCATAATAATAACTTGAAACCAATTGGAATTGTGTTTCAAATTGTGAATATCAAAAATTTAATAACATCGTATATCTGATATAATTTGTGAACAAAAAAGAATTACATGATTTGGTTTCATTATTTAATGAAAATGAATTAAAAATACTAAACATGAACACGGATCATCAAACAAAAAAAAAAATTTGAGGCTTGTGTGATTATTAAAATTGATAATAGAAAATTGATAACAGATAAAATTCTTTGTTTTTATAATGTGCTTACAAGTTGTTTTTTTAATTGTCAGCAAAAGATTGTACCACTACTTTCAATGGAACTTTATAATCAATTTCACGAAATGTCACAAAACAGGTATGATTTCCCGAGTTTTGAATCATTTTTGAAATATCTTGATGGAATTCAATGTCATTAATATTTATGGATAAACCGAGAGATTCTTTAATTTTATCTACAATATCTTCACGTGTAACTGGACTTTTTAAGACCGAAAGATCATTAGGATCTCTTGCTGACTCACGTTCAAAAATTAAATGACACGAATGATTCAACTTTGAAAGTGTTTTTTGTAATTCATAAAAATATTGAATAACGTATTGATTATCGGAGTCACGTAATTTTTTGCCCTTGGTAAATAAAAAAAAATATATATATATGGTCTGTGATGTGAAAAAAGGACCGAAAATGACAAAACATAATAATTATAAGAAGGATGATTTTAATGCTCACCAGAGGTGAAATTCACTGGTGATGCTGTATCTCAAAAACATACTAAGTAATTAAAGTCAGGGAGTTTAAATAAAAATGTTCAGAACCCCTGAAAACCTCACGAAAACTGAAATCAGGACCTTATATCTAATCTACATTATGTTATATAAAACTCCTCTTTTATCCAAAAACTGCACCCTAACCCTAAAAACTCTTAGGATGGTGAATTTCACCACTGGTGAATATTAAATAAATTCTTATAAGAAAATGCAAATTTTAAAGAGCTATACTGTTTGAAAAAATTATCATTTTCGGTCCTTTTTTCAGAACACAGCCCATATATATACATATAATATATATATATATTTGTAAATGACAAATTGAATGATTTTAAAATGAATTCAAATGGATTAACAATAATAACATACTGATTTATAAGGTTGACCATATAGCGCTAGGGTAATTTGTCCACCTTTGGCGAGAAGGTGTATTTGTTTTTTACCATCTTCAGATTCATTTTCTTTGGGTCCTCTTGGTATATAGTAATTTGCAAATCGATTAGGGTATAATCTATGCCTCATATAGCCTTAATTATTATTGTAAATTATATATAAATAAATATAATAATTTGTTTTTTCTTAGAGGTCGTACAATATCTAATTTTTTTTATAATATGAACACTTATTCTTCCGTACCTGGGGAAACTTTCACAATGTCTCCTATGCTCATAAAGATATAATGATATAATCATAAATAATAATACACATTTTTTTTTTTTATAATGATACCACTAAAAGTTCTTTTAAACCTTTATTTCCAAGTGATGAAAGCGGTTGGATTAATTGAACAGCAATTTTTCTTTTTCTAGCATTTCTACTAAAAAAGGATAATTCTAAAGCTTTTCTAAATATTTTTGGTGGTTTATCATTATTTAATTGTATAATTTTTAACGTTGTAAGAAGTCTACTCGAAAGTAGTATTGACATTACAGCATTAGCGTTAGGTAAAAAAAAAAATAACTGTTTAATGTTTTATTTTTTTTGTACTAACCAATTTGATTGGCTCAGAATTTAAAATTATGTAGATAATCAATCAACTTGTTGGCTTTTTTTAAATACAGAATACAGTAATAACTAATAATAACAAATGCGACCATAATTTATTTCGAGTGACGTAGCCTTGCATTTGTGCAATATTTACTATTTCACTAGATAGTTTCTTTTATTTTTTGACTTTATACATTTTTATTATGTACTGATAAAAACTTGGTCAGTGCTCTTTTCACCATCTCTCCCCTCTAAATGGACAACGTTGTTGGCCAGGAAAATACTCGAAACAATGTGGCGGAGGAAGAGGTAATTTTATGTAAAAATGAACAAAAAGACGCGGGGGAGAGGAATGAAGTCGTTGAAGGAGAGGATTCAGTACTTGATAATAAGAACTCATCAACAGCGACGCAAAAGGACGTTGCTGTAGGTGACCAAAGTAACACAACGGATGTTTCAGCAAGTGCACCGACAGACATATCAACTTCACCGAAAAACAGTTTAGAAACCTTACAATCAACCCCAACCTCAACATCAGACCCATATAAAACGAACAGCTTGGTTTTTAATAAACACGAGATTCTCGTTACCTCAGATTCACAAACCCACTTTCATTATTTAGATACAGATATTGATCCAAACAACCTTACAGAGATTGATGAAAACGGAATGATAGCCTTACAAGTTGTTGAAAAGAAATCACCATCCGAGACATTAACATCGACAATAAATGCATCTAAAATAATAACGCCAAAACGGATTATTCGAATAGAAAGAGATTATTCTCGTGGAGAAGTGTGTCAGTTCCGTACAACTTTTCCAACAGAAATTGATGGACGGGTATTTTTTTTATTTTTATTTTTTACAAAAGATTTATGAATTATATACTGTCAAGTATGGATATAACAGACATGTATACGTATAACCGATAAGATATATAACAGTATAACGGAATATAAATTTAAAAAATGCATCGAACAAATATTTTCTCAACGGTAAGGATCTGCGTTAAGATTTTGCAATGGATTTTTTATGAGCTCTAATTAAATTTAATAGTGATTTCAACTTTGAACAAAAATATCACTGACGATAATTTCAGTTTAAATATATCAGATAATTACATAGGTTTTTTAATGACCCTAGACATTAAAATCGGTTGGTCCTCATTGATACATATACTATTAAATTTTAATTACAAAGGTTTGTTTACATCCTGATGAGAACCTAACCTATTTTAATGCTCAGAGACATCTATAAGCCTATGTAAATATCTGATATCTGATATCTTTAAACTAAGTTATCAGGGTTCTCATTGGTAATATTCTCAAAAAGAATGCATTGACAAAATTTAACAAATCGTGACGTAGATCGAGATTATGAGTTTATGCTAATTAGATAACTAATTAGATAAAAATAATGCATTTTTTGAGATATACATATTAGTAACTTCTATGAACTCCGTTATATACATATTTGACAGTATTTAAATAAAAAAATATGATTAATTTTCTTTGTTTGCATTATAGATAACTCCAATACAATTTAGACAAACAATCAATAGATTAAATGAGCTTTTGGCAAAAGCATTCAATCCAAAAAATAATTGGTATGATAACTGCCTTGCCTGCTTAACAATATATACGTCAACTTTGTATATACGGTCACATTACGAAAAGGTAAGGGTGATGGAAAAAAAGAGAAATCCAAAGAAGAATATTAATTATTAACTCAGACGTATATATTTATATATAGATTGTTGAAGAAATATGTATATTTTTAGATAATGAAAATCAGAATTTATATAACATAAATGGACTTAATTTCCGGGATCCACGAAAAATTTCCTTTTTATTTGTATCCTTTTTTTTTATCTAACACTAACACTAAGCATTTTTTTAATTCATATCAATCAGTCTAATTTGATATCATATTATTCCTTAATCTAATAATTTTTGCGTTACAGCTCGAACTTGAATTATACTAATTACAAAAATTTCCCTTGTAGTAACACTTTTAATTATTATTATTATTATTTGTATGTCAATAATGTAAATTAAATAAAGTAAACATACGTGTCACATATACGTATTATATGAACTTCATTCACGCTTGATTTTTAAAAAGAATATATTTTATTACAAAGAAATAATAAATATAAGTGGCGAAGAAATAGTTGTGAAAGATGATTATGTAATCCTAAACATTTCATTATAAAAAATACAGTAGCTATAAAAATGAATAACGATAAATTTAATTATAAAGTTACGAATATGTTATTTATTTATTTATTTATTTATTTATTTGATTTTATTGTACATATATGTTTCAAAGGATATCTAAACAATTTAGTTATTCGGGGAATCACATGTTTGTTAGTATAATAAGGAAATATGTAAAGTAAAATGAAAATGCGTTATGTAATATATATAACTTTAATTACATTTCTCCTACCTGCGTATTGTATCAGTTAAAAACTATTTTTGAGACTAGCCATGTCCAATCAAGACACATGATAAATAAAAATTTGAAACTATGGTATAGGGAAGTTGTACCAATAAATCAAGGTTAAAAAGAAAACTTTAGAATAATGACGAGGTAATACAGATAAATTCGAAACGATTTATTAAGAAATTATTAAGAAATTTTCGATAGCGTTTCATAAACAGATATGGAATATAGAAAATAAAAAATATATCCTAGAATGTTCATCTAAGGGTAAAAAATTTTGGCAATAAATAAAACCGGAAAATCCAAATGTCATCAACGATGGTGTGACCTTTTAATTGCTCCAATGCAGCTAGTACTTACGTAAATACATTATTACCAAATGCTTGGAATTTTCTCCAACTTTGATTTGCATTGTTTGTTAAATGACACTTTTCAGCCTTTTCAGTCGATCGATAGGAGAAAAAACAAGAAAGACTAGAGCAAGAATAATATTATAATACGAAAATGTATCACCAAATGTAATTAGTGTAATTTTAAATTTTACACGTTAAATATCGCATGGTAAGATGTAAACATTGTAATAAAACACAAGCATTGTAATTATTTTATCGTTATTATTAGAATTATCGTTTGTACTGCTGTACTGTAACTATAATACTGTAATAAATAATATATACAAACTATATATAATAAATATATAATAAATATACGTATAAACTATAGTATATACCATATATTGATAATAATTACTGTATTATTATTACAGAACTTACAGAACTGAAAATCAATAATCAATAATCAATACGTATACATATATACAGTTATATATATATATATACTATATATATATGTGTATATGTATATATATTATATATATATATATATATATTTATACGTATCTATGATAATATATATATATCAATATGTATATACTGTATATATGTATATTGAAGATATATATATATATATATATATATAATTTAAATACCAAATACCAGATACCAATACGTATTGTAATAATTATTAAAATTATACTAACTACATATTTTTGGTGTTACCTTTCATATTATTTATTTACTTTCTGCAGACCCTAATTAGGATTTTTTTTTTTTTAAAGATATAAATCCGTTTGAAGTAAAAAAAAATTATAAATATATATATAAATAAATATATATGTATATATACAAATATATATATATATTTATATGTGTAAATATAGATAATCATTATGTATATATATATATATATATATATATTTGTAAATATACATGTTTTTTTTTTTGTATTACAATAATTTTTTTCACTGTTTTCCCAGAATATTTATTACTTGAGGAACGCCACGTGGATAAAATTAAAAACTTTAATCTGAAGAGAAGAAAAAGGGGAGGATCAAAAAGGAGGCTAAGAGATCTAAATTTGTTACTTCCGTAAACCCATTTTGTGGGCGTCTATTAATATGCGCCCCGAAACGGTACTACATGCGACGAAATGCGAGGGGTAATCTGACTGATCAAAACGCATACATCATTGATAGAAATACTTGCTCATTTGTATATCATATATAGTGTAGTTCATTTTCATCAATACACCAATAGAAATGTTTGGTTAATATAGAGAGATAAAATGTTTTACCAACACCACCCGAGATTAAAAAAAAATAATTACAAAATATTAATCATAAGGTCTGCAAAATATTAGAAATAAGGTCATGTGAGGTTTGTAACCTTTTTCAGAGAACAAATCATGTTTCAAGTTTAACGACTGCGGTCCTATTTTTTTTGACGCGACAAGTTTCAGATAATTGTTTTATAAAAATAGCGGGAGATTGACGCTCGGATCATATAACAAAAAGAAACACACCAATTAAAATTAACCGATTTCCTATTCGCCAATCATATTTCGATGAAGGTCCTCGCGCATAAAACCATCACCAATCTTATTTCGTAATATTTAACAAATGTATTTATCGAGTCATACCACCTTATTTTTTTTTTGAAAAATTTGTATCCTTTTATTCTTTGGTAAGTACGTAGGTGCACAGATAAATATTCCAAATTTATTCCTATTTTTGCTTAAGAATAGTCGATCTTACTATTCAGGTAACGAGATTTGTAACGCCATAGTTTGACCACAGAGATTTCAATTTTGTGTTAGTATTATTAAAGTTCAAGATCCACATTCTTTTAGCCCAAAGGTTTGTTAAAAATAAAGAAAGACAAAATTTCTGTATTTGATCGGCTAGGTAAATTTCATGCAGTACTATTTCTTTGATATTTTGGAGGGATATGCAAGTGAACGTTTTAGTTTAATATTTACATGATTCGGCCGTGACCGACTTTGTCATTTTAGTCACAGCCCCATTAAAAAAAAAAAAAAAAGAACTAAAAGAATAAAAAAATAAAAAAAAAAAAAACAAAAAAAAAAAATTTTCTAGATCGGAGTTCTCGGTACGCAAGTTTAGCCTGTCAATATTATTAATGTGTTATTCTACTTTTGACTGCATAATTATTAAAGTACACCGGAGGTTCGGAACAGTTCACAATATAGCATTGCATTAAATCGTCATCGAATCCATCTGGTTGGTGTTAGTGGGAAATAATTTGTACTACAATTAATGCGGCTATTTTTTATATATAAAAAAGTCTGAGACTAATCCCCCAGCGCAGAGAAAAACCTTGAAAAGTGAAAAGAAATTTTCTCATATAAATTCTCTGAGGTTCTCTCTCATATTCTGCTTTTTTTTTATTCTTGCTCGCAAGAAGGTCTATTAGTTGCTCTCTAAAAAAAAAAAAAGATCTATTAAATCTTTTTCGTGGTTATATATAATGGAAAATCAAGCTCTTTATCCTTTACAACAACACTTCGTTCAACAATCTACATCTCACATCGATAATAATAATATTGATTTATATGATTTAAATGCTGTTCAAACGAACGCTAATAGAATGTTGTGTCCTCCTGTCTATGATAATCATGTCATTATGGTAAATATTAACATGATTTTTTTTTTTTTTTTCTTTTTTATTAACACTTTTTCATTTTCGTAGAACGAACAATGCCTTTTCCCACAACAGTTTGATCAAGTTGGACAACCACTTGTTGGGATGATACCATACCCTCATCCCGTACGTATGATTAAATATTTATTATTTATTGATCTTTTTATATTATATTTATTGATCCAAATTTTCTTTGATTCTTGTTTCTTCAGATACTTACGGATACTTCCGCTTTCGAAATGGATCAAATGGATCTCAAGCCTATGCTTACACCACCTGATAAACCGTACCCTGTTTTCCCGCCTCATCCGTCTCCTCCCACGGTTTGTATTTTATTTTATCTTAAAAAATTTTTTTTTTATCTTAAAAAAAATTTTTTTTTTATCTTAAAAAAATTATTTTTATTATAAAAAAAAATTTTTATTTTTTTTATTTTATTTTAAAAATATTTTTTTTTATTCTTACCTTTATTTTATTTTATTTTTTTCTTTTAGCAATATTTAATCGATGACAGAATGTATGGATGTGTTGATAGATCTATGGTGTCAAATAATTCACATGTTGTTATGAATTCTACTGAAGAAATTAAACAAGTTCCTTCTCCTCCGACCTCGCCTCAACCCGTTCCTCAACCTCCTACTGAGACATCGAAAAAACAGGTACAAAAGGAAGAGTGTAAACCTGAAAAAACTGAACCAATCGGAAAAAGCGAAAAATCTGTTTCAACCGAAAAAGTCGATGAAGGATTACCTATTTCGATCAATCCGAAACAGAAAAATCGAATCCTTAAGCGAAGAGTCGCCCGTGCGATTTTCGAGAAACGTTACAACCTTCCTAAACAAAGAAAGGTAACGATACAAATATTTTTATTTTGCATTATCTTACATATTTTTATTTTATTTTATTTTGTTTTTTCTTATTTAATTTTTCTTATTTTATTTTTATTATTAACACTTGTATTCCCTTTTTTTTTTTTTAGCCGTATATTCATGAATCTCGTCACGTGCATGCTATGCGAAGGCCACGTGGTCCAGGTGGTCGCTTTTTGAACACAAACGATACCGTAAACGCAAGGCGTCAACCCTTCGAAAATTACAATACTTTTACACGTGATCTTTCCGAATACTTTCACCCAAATACTCATTTTCTATTTCCGATTGGGTCGAATCCCGTGCCAGATGTGAATTCTTGGGGCGTAACAACTGAATTAACAAACCTTGATAGTACGTGTCGTATGAACGTATATTTTGACGGAAACAACGTCAACGCCCCAACGACAAGTGCTATTAGTCCTTTTGTCACTGCTACACCGACATCCACGACATCACCGATTCAGGTCCAAAACGTTTATGAGACAAGCAACAACGAATATAATTTACCTCAATCGCAAATGTTGCAATTAAGTTATCCACCGTCGTTCGCTACCAACAACATTGGTTGGGATTACCCCAACTAATCAAACTAATCTAAAATCGTCGTTTCAAAATTTTCTCTCTTTTTAATGTAAATACAGCAAATCTGATTTTTCGAACAACAATACAATACATTCAATCATCATTTTTCGTTTTTTTTTTTCATAGACAGAAACAAAAAAAGAAAAAAAAAAAAAATTGGCATTGTAAACTTGGCAAAACAAACAATCGAGCTTCTTTTTTTTTTTTTTTAAATGTAAATTTTTTTTCCTTAAAGCAAAATCATATAGATTCTAAAATTTTATAGACTTTATTCATTACACTCAAAACATATATACAACATTAAGCTTTTTTTAAAAACTATGATAGAATATTTTTTTATTTTAAATCCCATCATGTAAATTTTTCCAAAAAAAAAAAAAAAAAAAAATCAAAATCAAAATCTCTCCGCATTATTTGGTTCCGCGTGTGGCGCTTTTTTTCTTTTTCTTCTACCTTAATTTCTCCTTTACCTTTTTTCTTTTTTTATCTTTCGGGTTTGGTGTCTTTTTCATTTTCGGGTAATAACCTGAAATTGAAATGTTTTTTTTTCGCTTCCCCTTTTTTGTACATTTAATCTTTTTCATCTATGCATTTCGAAGTTGTTTTATGAAACATGCATTTTGTGCTATGCCTATTAAAAAAAAAAGTAATAAAAAAAAAAAATAAAAAATAAAATAATAATAAAATAATAATAATTCTAATACGTAATAATAATACGTAATAACAATAATAATTATACGTAATAATAATAATAATATAATAATAATAATAATAATAATACATAATAATAATAATAATACATAATACATAATAACAATAATAGTAATGATAATAATAATATATATGAAGGAAAACCAGTAAGTAAAAATTTATTGCGATTTTACGTAATTGATCACGTATCAATACCAGATAATTTCTAATATGTTATACATATACCGTAATCAATTATGTAAGATCAAACAATTCTTTAGGGGATAATTCCTGCCTATCTTCGTAACATATATATATAAGATGGTTTTCATAACATGAAACTTTTAAGTAAACCCGGCCGGTCGGTTTGGGTTATGAAAACCAATGAACTAATTTTGCACGACCTAGTCATATGACATTTTTAAAATGCAATTTATTTATTATCTCCATTAAGTTAGCTGTTAAGTAATTGGATCATGTTTTTTATTTGGATGAAACTGAATAATAAAAAACCTCGTTTAGTGCTTTTTTTAGTTTTTATAACTTAAAGGTACGTATCACAAATTCATTAATATGATTCAGGTATTACGCACATTAAATATCAAATTTAATGATGTAAATGGTATATGTAGATGTATATATAATAAGATTTTTTTCACTTATATAAATTATAATAAACTATATAATATATATATGTTTTAATATACACTTTGATGGCGGTTTACTCAATTTACTCTCAGGTAATGAATTGTCTTTTATAATATATATTATGCTATCCTCTAAGATTCACAGAAAACTGTTCATAAAAAAAAAAACTAGATAATTCTAATCTATATTTTCTAATAAATATGCCATAATGTTCACCAATATATAATATAATTAAAGTCCATTCTGTTGAAATTTACTTTTTAACCTTAGTTCGAATAACTGGTATCATTCCGCTTTTAGTTGGTTTGGTATACTTTCCGTTAACAGCAGGTGTACCCACCGTTAATGTGTTATCATTAATACTGGATGTTGTTGATTCGTCTACATTTACTTTGGTTTCTTTGGTTTTTGCGACCATTTTTTCTTCGACCATTTTTACTAATAGATCAGAATATTTTTCTAAAAGATTTTGCGTTTTGGATTCTATATCCTTTTCATCACGATATGTATCATGTCCAGGTTCAACAATTTCCGGAACATTGATCCGGCTCTTTGTAGACTCGGATACATGATTATTTGTTAGCTCTTCGTTTACTTCAATACACTTACGTATATCATCCATCATCCCATTCAAGCTCTCAGAAATCAATTTTGCCATACCTTCATTTTTTGAGGAAGGCAAAGATACTTTTTTGTATGCTAAAAGAGTTCGTTCTAAAAGTACTGTCATAGTTAGCACATCTTCCATAATGCTATCTTCATTAATTTCATCTATACTTGATCGGTTGGTTACTATTTGTAATAAAAATTCATCAAAAATTAGTATTGTACAATAAAATTTTGAAAATATAAAAATATACGTATTATTTTAACCAGTTACCATTAGCATCGAGTTCATTATCATTGTTATTTTGGCATCCTTTAGAAATCGAAATGCCAAGACCGTCAGCCTTTAAATCACTATCATTAACAAATGATTCGTTGTCATCTCCGTCTTGGTTATCGATAGATAGTGGAATATTCTCATTTTTAATTTCTTCATTATTTTTATGATCAATAAAGCGTTTTAAGTTTACATCATCGGCAGTTTCTTCAGTTGGAGTAGCTGGGGACGATGGTGTTGAATAAATTATCGATGGTCTTTTATCAGATTCTTGCCCAAGACTATGATCATCAATCTCCTTAGACTTTTTTTCCAAAGCTTCTAAAGCTTCCATAATGCCACCCTCATCCTCTCTTATGACTAATTCTTGATTACCTATAATTTTGGTCAGTGCATCGATCAAACTATTATTGCCATTTGAATCATTGGAATTTCGTTGACTTCCTGTGTAGAATTTCATGGTCAGGCTTTGCCTCTTTTTTGCATTATTGTCCAAAGTTGAATTTCCTTCATTTTCTACACTGGCATGCCCATTTTCATTTTTTACGCGTTTCGTGTCAATATTTAAGTAATCTTCTAATTTTTGAACATTTTCTTCTGTACTCTCTATATCCTCCTCCACGTCATTTTCTTCATTGTCATTTTCCAAGGCACTAGAATCAACATCATTATCTTTTTCACTTCCAGATGATGACTTTGGACGATCACCACCAAATTCCACAATTTTAATACTTCCATTAAAACTACTCCGACGTCTCTTAGATGATATATTTCCATTATCATCCGCCCCTTCCAATTCATCTGGAGATTCGACGTATATAGTTTCATTGTCCTCATTACATGAATCCTCTGCAATGATTTCTTCTTCCGCAGGTGAAAATATATCATCATCGTCGTCGTCATCGTCATCATCGAATATTAATGTAGGAATATTTGTGGGCTGGGTCAATGAGAATGCTTCATTAGATGACGTACGATCCTCTACAGGTTTTGATTCATTTTTTTCAGGTTCTATACCCAATAATGATTTTGTTGCATCCTGACGTAATTTGCTTTGCGATTTACTCCTGTTTAAAGGCTTTGGAATTGCTGGTAGCTTCTTTTCCATATTAAGTGAGTTACTATTGTCCTGCACTTGACTAGTAGAAAATGTAACAGTAGGTATATGAGTGTTGCTGCTATTTGAAACATTATCTTTGAGACGTTTTTCTTCTTCCTTTTCTTTGAAAGCCTTTTTCGCCCAACTAGGTAAACCAATCTTCCAAGATTCTCTCCTTGCTGAATTTAAAGGAGTTGGGGTGTTTGGTGGCGTAGTTAACCCCGTCGTATTACTAGGTGACGATGATGTAGCCGTAGGCAGCTTACTTTGATCTAATGAAAATCTAGTCGCTGTGGTTGATTGAGTAGATTTCGGCTGCGATGATCCATCATTTGCATATGATACAGGTCTTTTAACGACAAATTTTTTCGTGTTGTCTTCATTTTGATGCTCCATTGCAGAGAGTGATGAATAAGATTTTTTGATTTTTAAATTATTTGTTGCTCGACGAACAGAAAAACCTAATTCTTGATCATCATTTGATGATTGTTGAAGATCCACCATAAGTGATTGCGATTTTTGTGCTGGCATAGTAGTCCTAGGTTGAATTGGTGGTGGTATTGATGATTGTGATGAAGGATAATCTCTCATAATAGGTGATGTCTTTTCAACCAAACCACTAACTCCACTTCTATCCAGCCATTTTTGTCGCATCTTTGAAACCAATTCATCCGATATTTTCCACACAAATATACAGCCATCCGCAGAGGTTGAAATAACGCGTTCACAGTCTGAAGTAAACTTTACTCCAGTAATTAATTCTGAATGGCCAAGCACTTTGCCCAATATCGAACCATTAGTGAAATCAAAAAGTCGAATACTTTTATCTGACCCGCCAGTTACAGCATGTACGCCGCCAGGGTCCAAAGAAATTCTGAGTAAGCTTCCTTGATCTGCAGTATTGACCTCTTCGGGTGTATCAGATTTGTATGAACGCACATTTTTACCCGTATCAATATGGTAAACATTTAGTCTACGTTCTCCTGATACTGTGGCTATGTATCGATTTGATATATCAATGTCCATATCAAATACAGTTGCCCTTCCAGAGATATTATGGTATGGCACATAACTTGGGGAATCACCCGACTAAATAAAAAAATTTTGATGAATGATAAAATTTTAATTTGTAATCCGCCTCGTTAATATCAATTGTATAAGTTTCGTTGGTATGGTATCAATACTCCTATTTTAACATTATCTTTATAATGAATTTCTCTATACAATTTTTCTAATTCTAATCCTCCTTTATTATTCATTCCCTTATACATAAATCAAATGATATGATCCAATTTGGTTGATATCAACGAGAATAGCTATTAAATAAAAAAAAAAGTCTAGTTTTAACCTACATTTTGTCGACTTCTGAATATGATACTCTTATCTGCACCACAACTGATCAACTTTCCACCATCATTAGTGAACTTTATGGCGGTTATAGACGAAGAATGGTCGTCCAAAGTTTGAATCAATTGAAAACTATTATTAACATCAAAGACGTGTAAGATTCTATCACGACTTGCAGTAGCAATTAAATTTGGCGCGCCTAATATATATATATATATATGTATATATGTAAATAAAATAATTAAATTAAATTAAATTAAAAAATAATGTAAAAATGTATAGGCATTAAATAAAGAACTAACAGAGACATCATTTATATAAACATCTATAGGATTTGATAAAGCTAATAAAGATGTCGCTCATATTAAATTGCATCCATACTCACCAGGCATTCGTCTGTCAGTAAATTCAATTGTCAAGATCTCTGCATCATGTGCTTCCTGATATGTAATCTCTTTAAAAGTATCAAGATCATGTACCCTAAATAAAATGGATAAACCTATTTAGTATGTTTCAACAGGAAAGCGCTTATTATTCATACTTAAAAAATACCTTAAATTTCCACCACGATCTCCAGATGCCATCAGTTTTCCATCAGGACTAATTTTTAGAGTACGAATCCCTGATTCCACGGCAGAAGAACTAAGCTGTTCTGTAGAATCTGTTATACAGAATATATAATTAGCAGGATAAAAATATTTTTACGATGATTCTTTAAGCTTTTGAAATACCCACCAGATTTATCATTTTTTGTTTCCAAAGCGCTTGAACGATATTTTCCTTCTGGATCCACATAAATAATTTTCATACATTCTTTGCTATAAATGTTTCTTTTTAAAGTGGTGTTGTTACTTCCTGCAGAAGCAACGTTTGAACCAGTCGAGTTAGCAGATCCGTCAAAATTCCAAAATCTGATAGTACTATCAGCGGAATAAGTGACGAAAGTATTTTCTGGAAGCGGAGACGCGTCATCCTCAGTATCGCGGGGTGGTATCATCTAAAGATAGTATGTCTTAAATAAGATATATAAAAGCCATTTTAATATGAAGATATACTGTAATGTCATTTACCTCTACACCCCAAATAGTATCACAATGGTATAGAAAGCTTCTATATTTTCCAATTTTTTTTACGTCTTTTATGTCCCATATAAAAAGACTACGATCACTATATATACATGTAAGTTTTCCTGTTTCCGCATCAAATTTTATAGCTGTTGTATCCGGATATGTATCATTCGGATCACCAGTTCCATATGTTGATCCTGTCTGTAGGGTTAAATCCACACCCAAAGGATGTGGTTTTGGTAAAGTACCCAGATAATTCAGTGTTATTGGTTCAAATAATCTAAAAGAGTTAATTAGTATTATATATACTAAAAAATATATAAAATATCTGTAATCAAATACTTACCTGACAATTCCATTTGAACAGGCACATATGATATATTGTTGGCTCACATCGATAGAATAGGCGCTTTTGACCTGCAATATCATAATGAAAAAGACATTTACGAAAAATAGGATATTAAGAAATATATTATATATAAATATTATCATTATTCTTTAAATGTTAAAGATCACAAACCTGCAAATTAACCCATTTGTCCATTAATCTACCTTCTGTGAACATACATAACAATCCATTTGAAGTTACGAAATAAGTGTGATCTGATTTCTGACAACATGCAGCGTCGAGAAAATTGTTATCTCTTAAATCGCCTAGAATACCAGATCGCCCATCAAGTACTTGCGCAGTTTTTTGTATTGATTGTCCCTGAATTGACAATTTTTAAAAGAAAAATTTTAAGATAACGTACCACTTTATGTTTAAATAAAGATGAGTAAACCTACCGCAGCTTTTTTTGGTAAATTTCCATTAGAATCGAAATACCAATATTTCACATGCCTCAAGCCAGCCGTTACAAAAAAAGAACCAGTCCTATTAAATGCTAAAGTGTGGACCTTGGTAGTGATTTTGTTACACGCGACTTTTGCTCCAGTTTTCAAATTCCAAACATTTAGATAACCATCATGCTAATAATAATAATAATAGTAAAGTAAAATATGTTTAAATAATAATAATAATAATAATAATTTAATAAATAAAATCATGTGAAACAAAAAGAACACACTTAAGATAATTAACTCACTTGAAAACCCAAAGAGACAATCCATTTCATATTTGGAGAAAATTCTAATGCCAATACACCATATTTATGACCTTTAAGTTCGTTAACCAGAGTCTTTGTTGACACATCCCATATTAATATACGAGGCTGATGACCAGTCTGTTTTTATAATAATAATAATAAATAATAATAATAATAATAAATAATAATAAATAATAATAATAATAATAATAATAATAAATTAAAATATAAGATATTAAATTAAGCATTTTAACTTATAAATTAGACTTTTATAAGGTATTTACCTCTCCGACAGCTAAGTAATTACCATCAGGAGAAAAGGCAAGACATGATATTGGTTTTGCCTTATTGCTCACTGCAGGCTTCTTAGAAGAAGCATTTCCACTTGCGTTCGTGCCCGGTGGCTCTAATAACCCCAAAGCACCCAGAGGATTCATCATAGGATCTCCAACAATAGTATGCCGATTATTTGAATTTGTAGGGGTCGGAGATGGAGCAGAAGTCACTGCCGACGATGCGTGTAAAAAGCCAACTTGTTTGTTTTTCTTGTGATTATACAATACAACGACAGAGCCAGCTGCATAAGCTATAAGATCATGTGTAGGTGCTGTTGATATTGCAGTTGATTTTGAAGCTGTTAACCCAAGTATGCGCTCAAGTTCAATCTAAATTAAAAGGAAAACATAATAGTCAATAATCTCATCTGTAATTCTGTATTGTATGCGCAATTAGTTGACAATAGATAATATATATCTGATAATTATTTTACACCTATAGAACTCTGCATTCGTTCTCTCAAAGGTCCTATCTAGTTCATATTTGCTACTGTTTTTACCAATTTTAAAAATTTTAAATAATATTTACACACACAAACGCATAAACGCAATTATGCATAACCAAAGGGAACAAGCAACGTAATTGTATTTAACGAATTATTAAATGAAGATACTTGATAAATTTTGATAAAATTTAAATAATACTAACGGCAGGTGTTACATTTTCGCCTTTCTTTTTTCGACGGAGCGCACCACTTTTTGATGGATAAATAGCGACAGTAGTGGGCCTTGAAGATCTTGGAGCAAACATTATTTACAAGTTCCTTATTATTTCGTTTCAGAATTTAATTATTAAAAGCTTGAGCAATGCTCTGTCACAGTGAGATTTTTAATTCACACTTAATATATCAATTATTGACATATGATATATTCCCTCCTGTTATTTGCGAGGATAAACTAATAGTCATAAGACGGTTTTATTTCAATCGAGAGTTTTGTCGAGATTATCACTTGCTATTATAAGTATTCAAAATTCAAATCAGAATTCAACCGAAAAAAATATTCATAATTGCTACTTAACAGAACGTCAAAAAGGAAATTATTTCAACTTACTTTGTATATCTTTTAATAACGGAAAAAATAAAAGCACGCGACGCGCCAAATGTTCAAAAAAAAGTATCGTTCGTAATATGTGAAACAACGGTTGAAACAACAGTTGACTTGAATTAGGAAATAAACAAAACTAACCTTAAACTGGACAAACAGAAGGCTAACCTCAAATAGCACGTTAAAATGAAAAAAAAAATCACAAGAGCCAAAGTCCAACGCCGAGAAAGTTGGAATCAGGAAACAACGAGAAAAAAGAGTAAATATAGGAAAAAAAAAGAGTTAAAAGAGTGACGATATAGAACGGGCGTTCGACTTTATGTATTATTCTGTATTTGTACAGGAATAGGAACTCGTCAAGTCTTGAAATGGGAAGAATTTCACTTACAGTAACTGTAAAGGATTGTTATATAAAAGGTGGCTGGAGATCTTTCTGATCTCTTTTGGGTTTAAAAAAAAAAAGTACGTACATCATGCGTACATCTGTAGACGCTGTGTCACTTAATTTTAGATGCCTCACAGTCTTACGAAATGAAACAATAGCGACAGCAAGCTTTAAATAAAATATACAGCATTGCAACCCATACGTATAACACAATTCATTGCGAGAGAATTCTTAGAATAATCGGATCAAAATATTCAGGCAAGATACGTACAACCTTCAAGGGTTTTATCCTTGCTCCAATCTTTGCTGAACTAACATATTAAAAAATTTATATTTGTTTTGTACACAAATAATTTAAAAACATTGTTTTAAAAATATTTGTTACTGTTCAGTATTATAAAACCTTATTTATTGCATAAAAAAAATCCCTGTGTCGAAAATCAACTGATATTCGTTGGTCTGTCGTGACTTATTTAAATTTATGTAAATACCAGTTGTGGGCTAGGTCAAGTTGCACAATAAATTTCTCGTTTTTTAATGATTAAACCAATCAATAAATAAAATATATAACAAATAAATTACCAATGATGCCTAATGATGTGAATTTTTTAAATCTATTAATTAAAATTAAAGTAAGAGGGATTTCTTCTTATCAAGATAGATTCATGTGTCAAAGGTATCATAATACATGTATATAATTATATATGGTGATTTCACATTAGCACTACTTGATCAGTTTATTAATGTAGATAGAGTTGTATTTAGGATAGGTATAAAAGATTTATAGCGACAAAAAGAATACGTACGTACGTACATACCTGATACTGTACCTGGTACGTATGTATCAATTTGATAGGGTTTTAGGTTCTAAGATTCGATGTATAGATATTTTCACATGCGTTTCGTATTTTGCATATTATTTCGTTTCAAATATTTCAAATATATATGAGAATCTTAAATTAGGCATATCATACTGTACATTTTCTTATTAAATATAAATGTTGATTTATAATATATATATACTGTATTATATACATACGTAGAAGATAGACTTACCGTTACGATATCGATATGAGATTATTGGATGATAATTTTAAAGTTTTTATACTGTATATTGCATTTTAATTTGATTGGCTAATCTTGGAAATTATCCAATTAGATTACACAAAATTAGATATAATTTAAACATATATATATATATATATAGTTGATTTGTACAACTACGTATACAACTACGTATACAAACTAAGTCCACGACTATACGTACTAAATTGAGTTATCTGCAATTCCATAAATAGGTGGATATTGAATTTTATAATTAATGAGTTCTCGATATACATTTTCCATGAGCACAATTAACTATATGAACTCTCGTATCCAAACTCAAAGATTCACCAACAATTCTATGACTGATAATACTATTAATCAAAAAGTAAAAACTTTATTTCGTAATAAAGATTTTTTAGTGGTTGATAAACCGTATGTTATTTATTATATATAATTTTCGAGAAAAATAGTTTAACTAAAATTAATTGTATCTTTTATATTTAGGGACCTGATATTTCCACACCCCCCATGTAGATTATTCTTTTTTTAAAACTTAGAAAGTATTTCGGCAACTACATAACCAAATTCGATGAATTTTTTTTTATTTGAGTTCTGGCTTTACCACAAAATCCCGAAAGGACATAATACCGACTAAATTGGCCAGCATTATCACTAATGCTGGCTAACTTTATCGGTATTATGTCCTTTCGGGATTTTGTGGTAAAGCCAATTTTATCTTAATCTAAAGAGACTCTAACCCTAAAGTTAACGAGGTAAAATGTTAATTTATATAAACTTTGCCTCTGCTTTGGAATTTGACCAATTTGATTAGTCTGGTTAAAAGATTTGTTGTTAACTATAATAATTTTTTTAATCTATTTGTAATTTTTTTATAAAATATTAACTTACTTAGAATTAATTATTAAACAGTTACAAAAAACAATATATATATATATGTATTGTTACAATTCTATAGCCTTCTTGGTATTGTTATCCCTTAAACCGTATTCCAGGCAAATTTGCCTGAAATTTTAAAAAGTATTTACAATTTTTTAAATAAAATTAAAAATTATTAATGATATGGGGTATAATTTATATATATAATATTTTA